AAATACCATGTCTTGGGTTGGGTGCACCTTAGTTTTCAAGGAGATATCTTCATCACTTGAAAGAGGTCTTTTGCAGCAGATTTGCCCATGCAATATGTTGTCTCATGTCTTGCCTGCTGCTTCCATTGGTGGTGATTATAGAATCAAGTAATATGAAATCCTTGAAAACTTCAATCTTTTCTCCATTTATCATGAAGCTATTTAATGGATGAGTTGTGAGGATTTTAGTTTTCTTTACATTGAGGTGTAATCCATACTGCAGACTGTAGTCTTTAATCTTCATCAGTAAGTGCTTCAAGTCATCCTCTCTTTCAGCAAGCAAAGTTGTGTCATCTGCATATCGCAGGTTGTTAATAGGTCTTCCTCAAATCCTAACACTGTGTTCTTCTTCAGACAATCCAGTTTCTCAGATTGTTTGCTCAGTATACAAGTTGAATAAGTATGGTGAAAGGATACACCCTTGATGCACTCCCTTCTTGATTTTGAACTATGCAGTATCCTCTTGTTCTGTTCGAACAACAGCTTCCTGATCTATGCACAGGTTCCTCATGAGTATGATCAGGTGTTCTGGAATTCTCATTCTTCTCAACGTTATCCATAATGTTTGATGATCCACACAATCTAATGCTTTTGCATAGTCAATAAACCATAACTATACATCTTTCTGATATTCTTTACTTCCAGCCAAGATCCATCTGACATCAGCAGTGATATCCCTTGTTCCATGTCCTCTTCTGAATCTAGCTTGCATTTCTGAAAGCTCTCTGTCAATATACTGCTGCAACCATTTTTGAATTATCTTCAGCAAGATTTTACTTGCATGTGATATTAATGATATTGTTTGATAATTTCCACATTCTGTGGGATCCCCTTTCTTTGGAGTAGTTACAAATATGGATCTCTTCCAGTCAGTTGGCCAGGTAGCTGTCTTCCTAATCTCTTTGCATAGCTGAATGAGTGCCTCCAACATGGCATCCATTTGTTGAAACATCTCAATGGGTATTCCATCAGTTCCTGGAGCCTCGTCCTTCGCCACTTCCTTCAGTGCAGCTTCAACTTCTTCCTTCAGTACCATTGGTACTTGATCATATGCCACCTCCTGAAATGGATGAACATTGACCAACTCTTTTTGGTACAGTGACTCTGTTTATTCCTTCCATCTTCTTTTGATGTTTCTTGAATCATTCAATATATTGCCCATAGAATCTTTCAGTATTGCATAGAATCTTTCAATATTGCAACTCGAGGCTTAAATTTTTTCTTCAGTTCTTTCAGCTTGAGAATTGCCAAGTGTGTTCTTCCCTTTGGGTTTTCTAACTCCACATCTTTGCACATTTCATTATAGTGATTGGCTTTGTCTTCTTGAGCTGCTCTTTGAAATCTTGTGTTCAGCCCTTTTATCTTGTCATGTCTTCCATTTGCTTTAGCTACTCTGCTCAAGGGCAAGTTTCAGAGTCTCTTCTGACATCCATTTTGGTCTTTTCTTCCTTTCTTGTCTTTTTAATGACCTCTTGCTTTCTTCATGAATGATGTTCTTGATGTCATCCCACAATTTCTCAGGTCGTTGGTCATTGGTGTTCAGTGCATCAAATCTATTCTTTAGATGGTCTCTAAATTCAGGAGGGATATTATCAAGGTCATATTTTGGCTCTCTTGGGCTAGTTTTAATTTTCTTCCACTTCAACTTGAAAGTGCATATGAGCAGTTGGTGGTCTGTTCCCCAATCAGCTCCTGGCCTTGTTTTGGCCAAAGATACTGAACTACTCCATAGCCTCTTGCCATAGATGTAGTCAATCTAACTCCTGTGTATTTCATCTGGTGAAGTGCACATGTATAGCCGTGGCTTATGTTGTTGAAAAAGGTATTTGCAATGAATAAGTCATTGGTCTTGCTAAATTCTATCATGTGATCTCCAGCATTATTTCTGTCACCAAGACCATATTTTCCATCTACCGGTAGCTCTTCTTTGTTTCCAACTTTTGTATTCCATTCTCCAGGGATAATCAACACATCTTGATTGCGTGTTCAGTCAATTGCAGACTGCAGAAGTTGGTAGCAATCTGCAATTTCCTCATCTTTGGCTTTGGTGTTTGGTGCATAGATTTGAATAATAGTAGTATTGACTAGGCTTCCTTGTAGGTGTACAGATATTACCCTATCACTGACAGCATTGTACTTCAGGACAGATCTTGAAACCGTCTATGTGATGATGAATGCCACACCATTCCTCTTCAATTTTTCATTCCCAGAATAGTAGATCACATGGTTGTCTGATTCAAAATGGCCAAAACCAGTCCATGTCAGCTCACTAATGCCTACGATATTGATCTTTATGTGTTCCATTTCAATTTTGAAAACTTACAATTTTCCTAAATTCATACTTCGTACATTCCGTGTTCCAATTATTAATGGACGCTTGCATCTGTCTCTACTCATTTTGAGTCAGGCCACATCAGCCAATGAAGGTCCCAAAAGCTTTACTCTATCCATATTTTTAAGGTCGTCTCTACTCTGAGAAGTCAGCTCTTCTCCAGTCAAATTTTGAATGCCTTCTGACGTGATGGTCTCGTCTTCTGGCACTATATTGGATAATGTTTCAGGGCTGTTCATAAAGTTTTCCAGTAATATAGCAGTGTTTCACTGCTATTCATAAGATTTTCACTTGCCAATTGTTTGAGAAGTCGTGGCCTCTTCCTTCTTCTGAGTCTGTCTTAGCCTGGAAGCTCTGCTGAAACCTGTCCACCATTTCCAATTGTATAGAAATATAATTGATTTTTATATTAATCTTATATTCTGTCACCTTGCAGAATTCATTTATTCTAATAGGTTTTTTTTTTTCCTTTTCTAGATTTCTTAGTATTTTCTGCATACTAGATTATTATGTCATCTGCAAAAAGAGATAGTTTTACTTCTTCCTTTCCGATTTGGATGACTTTTATGCCTTTGACTTTCCTAATTGCATGACTAGAATTTCCAGTACAATGTTGAGTAGAAGTGTTGAGAGCAGCTATCCTTGTCTTGTTCCTCATCTAAGAGGGAAAGCATTCAGCCTTTCATAGATGTCCTTTTCAGGTTGAGGAGGTTATGTAAATTATTTTTTATACTTTACCTTGTACTTTTAGTATTTTCTATATGTTTACTGTTCCTTTGAAACATAATTTTAATGGCTACCTATTATTCAGCCATTAAAATATCACATGTGCAGTATAATGGAGGTTAAGAGTGTGCTTTTGAGTCAGTTCTTATTTTGAAGCCACACTTCATTGAGAAATGCTGAGAAAGTTTCTTAGCCTCTATTTTCAATTATGCAAAATAAAGTTAATTCTTGACTATTTTGTTAAGTAGGTGTAAGAAATGTATGAAATAAAGAATAATTCATATAAAACACTCAGCACAGTTATATAGAAAGAACATAATGAATGGTAGCTAGTATAATTGTATTTTAATTATATTATTGTTGGTGACATTTACAGTATTTATTTCTGTAATTAAAACCCTTACACTTAAAAGTCCGTGCTTATTATTATTAGTTTTCTTTCCTTCATACTGGAATAACTAGATCAAACTTTTTTTTCTTTTTCTTTGGAGAATGCTATATCAAGGTAGGGAGCTCTGGTAGTGTAGTACCTAAGGCACTTGACTGCTAACCAGAAGGCTGGTGGTTCAAACCCACCAGCTACTCCTCGGAAGGAAGATGGGACAATCTACTTCCGTAGTGATACTGCCTCGGAAACCCAAGGAGGGGTCGCTATAAGTCAGGTCCAACTTGATGGCACATAACAACACAACAACAACATATCAAGGTAAGGAGCTCTGGTGGTGGTGCAGTTGTTAAGGTATTTGACTGCTAACCAGAAGGTTTGCAGTTCAAACCCACCAGCTGCTCCGTGAGAAAAAGTTGAGGCAGTCTGCTTCCATACAGATTTGCAGCCTTGGGAACCCTATGAGGCAGTTCTACTCTGTCCTATAGGGTCACTATAAGTCAAAATTGACTCAGTGGCAGTGAGTTTGGTTTGGTTTTGGTATATCAAGTTATTTTATAGAAAGATAAATTTATTGTATTCAAACCATTAGGTTGGGATGGAGATTTTGTGGGAGATCAAGTTGAAAAGTAAATTGGAACTAGATTTTGGAAAGGTTCAGACATCAGTGTAACAGCTTTAGTTATTTTGTCATCAGGCCAATGGCATCCCATGAAAGGCTTAAGCAAGGGAGGATTGTAGGTGGTAATTTAGGAGGTTTAATCATTTGTGCCTTTGTTGTCTTGCTTGACCATCACTGACTGGTTAGGTCTTGCTGTTATGTGCCTATATTGTACCCAGTATACCCTCTATCATAATACTTAATAGACTGGTTGCAAATAATTCATTAAATGTTTCTCTTTTCCTGCTCTTAAGTACATAAGCCACACATTATATTCCCACTGCCCAACAGAGTATCTGGTGTGTGGTTGTTATATTGTTAGGTGCCATCAAGCCAGCTCCAACTCATAGTGACCCTTTGTACAACAGAACAAAACCCTGCCTGGTCATGCACCATCCTCAAAATCCTTGCTATACTTGAGCCGTCATTGCAGCCACTGTGTCAGTCCATCTTGTTGAGAGTCTTTCCCTTTTTCCCTGACCCTCTACCATGCATGAAATCCTTCTCCAAGGAATGGTCCCTTCTGACAACATGACCAAAGTAGGTGGGACGAAGTCTGGCCATTGTCACTTCCAAGGAGCATTCCCAGTGTGTCTTAGTCTGGAAGCTCTGCTGAAATCAGTGACCCTGCTAGTATTTGAAACAGAAGTGGCATAGCCTCCAGCTTCACAGCAATACGGAAGCTACCGCAGTGTGACAAACTGACAAGACTGGTGGTGGTGGTGGGGGCGTGTGGTAGACCCTCAATAAATACTTGTTGAATAAGTAAATGAATATTTTTTTTTGTGCTTTTCTGGAAACTAACTTGTTGGCTTTTGTGTTTTCTTTATGTTTTCTTCTTGGGCACCAAGGAGGAAGCATCTCCTTATTCCTTACTGGATATCTGCTTGAATTTTCTGACTACTCACCTTGAGAAGTTCTGCTCAGCAAGACAAGATGGAACATTGTGTCTGCAGGAACCCGGAGTATTCCCACAGGAGGTGGCTGATCGGCTACTTCAAACCATGGCTTTTCATGGTAAAAAATATAAATAAACAGAAGGAAACAAAAATTGTGTGCTGTTAATTGAATTTTAAAGTGCTGGTTTGGCCATTTAATTATTTTCTTAGAAAAAGCACTCAAGGCCAGATTAGCCTGATTCCAGTAAAAGAGCAATTTATTTTTTTAGCTACCTTGCCACTTACTGTGTAATTTGGAATAAGCTTTTTACTTTAGGGTTTTCTGTATTTCTTATTTGAACAACCCCCCCCACCACCACCACCGAAAACCATTCTAATGGCAAAAATAACTTCTCTAGCTTGTAAAATATTGATTTAGAAACCTGCTGGCATAAATACCATACATCTTAATTTGACTGTTACGGAAAACCTACTTTCTGCTTTTGACCTTTTAAAATAAGAAATCACAGCTAATTGAGTACTTTTGTTTTTAAAAATAAATTCTGAAAAGAAATTGGGAAAGCCTGATCTCATCTGAAGTTTTGGTCATGTATATTGAGTACTTATGTTACTTCTATTTAAGTTTTAACTTGAAAGAGATACAATACTTTTATAACTTTAGGGTTTGTAAACTTACAAGTAGGAAATGTGATTTGTCCATAGCTCTAAAATAGAATGAAAATTTGGTAGTAATAGTAGTTACTGTTTATGTTATGTGTCAGACATTTTACATGTGTTTTTATTGAATTTTTTCAGCAACCCTATAAAGTAGCTACTGTTAACCCCATTTATACACAGATAAGAAAACTAAGGTTCAAAGAAGTAACTTGCTGAGGGTGATACTGCTAGTAAATGGTGGAATCCTAATTAAAATTCAGGTCATCTTGTGCCCTTTTCTGCTGTGCCACAGAGCCTTCTTATATCTGTCCTACAGGTGTTTCTGCTTCTAGATGCCAGGTAATGGTTTATACTTTTGCTGTGACTTTAAAAATATGTAATAAGCATGAATACAGATAATGCATTCCAAGGAAGGGGTAGAGAGAAATGAGGTTATAATTGAAATCAGTCTGAGACATTTTGGAATAATTGAAGAAAGAACAGGACCTATACACTCCTTGATTTTCACTCAGTTGCTCAAGTTTATAGTCTCTTTGAATTCTTCCAAATTTCCATAGGAACTAAGATAAATTTCAATACATGCTACATATGATCAAGTTAAAGGTGCCTTGTAAGGTTTCACAACAATTTAACAGACTATTCCAGTGCTGACAGATCTTTCTAGTGCAAATTTAGTGATTATATTCAGCATATTTTTTTTTTCTAAAAATGTTACTAGTCTTATAAATCAAAAGAATAGATGTTAACTAAAGTTTTAACTTTGTTAGATTCAATTAGCCTTTTGAAATATAATGACTGATATCTAACAGTAAGAGCTACCATTTATTAAACGCTTATTACTGTGTTGCTGGACACAGTGTCAAATGCTTTATATGCGTAAAATAATGGAAGTGGTTTTTATGTAAGTGTGACTAAATAATTGTTATCCTTCAGAGCAGTGTCTTGGAGAGGCTATATGCTTGATCAAAATGTATGTATTTCCTATTTCTTTTTAAATTGCTTCCAGATAAGGAAGAGAGTCCCAGTGGTACAGTGGTTAAGCACTCAGCTTCCAACCAAAATGTCGGTGGTTTGAACCCGCCAGCAGCTCTGCAAGAGAAAGATGTGACAGTCTGCTTCCATAAAGCTTTACCGCCTTGAAAACCATATGGGGGCATTTCTACTTTGAGTATAACATTGCTATGAGTCAGAATCAACTCGAAGGCAATGGATTTTTTTGGTCGGATAAGGAAACGGGGTTACAAAAGTAACTTGCTCCCCCATTTATGTAACCCCAATTACCTGCCTCATTCATCAGAAAGAGTGTTGCACTATTTTTAACTCTTTGTAAAAATCATATTCACCTTGTAACAATCAAGAGTGGATGCTACTGAGGATATGCAAAAGAACATATTACCAGTTCTTGTCACAATTTTTAAAAGTTGTTTCATAAATTTTTGTATGTGTTTAAAAATTTTCATAATAAAATATTGGGGAAAAAAGTTCTATTGAGTGCTTTTGAAATTGGTAATGCCAGTTAAAATGTTTTTGTTTTTAGTAATATCATAGTGATTTTAGAAAATGCTTAGCTTATGTATATTTTAAATGTTTATTTCTTTGCCCAATTCCAAGGTTTAATGATATTGGGAGTAGCCTATTAAAAGAAACCTGAGCCTAAGCGTGTTACTTATTGAAATATGTGGGTCTGTTCTCATGGGCTTTGGTCATTATATCTGTGACTGAGTACTAAAAATTTTCCAAGAATTGTGGTGGAATCAGAAATACTAACAATCAGAATAAGAATTTGCCATCTAATGGTAATAATCCTGTGTTATACTTTAAGTTGATAGATCTTAACATGTTCAGCCTTCTGGTTTGGGATTAAACTGAAAAGAATAATAATTTTTAAAACAGATTTGTTCTATCCTTGAAAGCCAGTTAGACTTTCTAAGTGATTGAAGGCTTATATTCCCAGATTGGTACCCTACTTATCTGGAAGTCACATTGCTGGCCACCTCAGCTTTCTATGATTGAAACCAGAAAGAGAAGAAGTGCTTTGGGGCAAAATCCTTATGTTTAGACTTCCGTATTTTACTCTTTAAGAGAAGCCTTTGAGTCATCATGTGTATTGATTCTTAATACATGCATAGTTCTAATTAACTTGATTCTCTGACTATAGCAGATTAAGAACTGCAGATCTGAAGAGGACAGGCTGCCAACACCAAAAGTGGATTGTTTGACAACAAAGGAAGATTTATGTTAAATATATTGTGACAAGTACAGTAATTGTTGGTCATGGAAAAAAAAAAAAAAGATTATTTAGTATGTTTATCATGAAAGGAGGGCTGTAACATAATTTAGAAAGATTTCCTTTAAATACAGTTAATGACGTTTGTGTAATGCTTTCAGTTTGCAAAATGCTTATTATGTACATCCTCTAATTTAATCTTCACAGTGATCCCTATGAGGGAGATATTATTATTCACATTTTACAGGTAAGGAATCTTAGACTCCTAACTTAGAACTCCAGAGTAACTCATCCATTGTTAAATAGTAAATGGAAGGACCCAAATCCAGAATCAATTTCTAGATCTCATGCCTTTTTTCCACCGATCCCTGCTTTTTTAATTACATTATCCTCAAATGTAGACACTTAAATTTAGTTATTAGGAAAACTCACTTAATGTGGACTGACTCCAAGAGGCCATAAGTAACATATTTTATGAAACTTATGTGTACTGTATCAAAATTTGAGAACAAATTTTATAAGACGCTGTGAAACTCTTAATAAGATTAAAATCAATATTAAGAATTAACCCAAAAGATTGAAGTTTCAGCTGTAGAAAACAAAACATATTAAAATATTAATTTATTTTGTGACATAAGCAAGGAAAACATTGATCTTAACCCAGGATCTATATTCATTTTTTGATATTTTCAATGGCCCTAGCAGATGATTCGGGGAGCTCTGGTAGCATGGTGGATAAGACACTTGCCTGCTAACCGGATGGCTGGAGGTTCAAACCCACCAGCCACTCCTCAGAAGGAAGGTTGGGCAATCCTGCTTCTGTAGTGATACTGCCTCGGAAACCCAAGAAGGGGTCGCTATGAGTTGGGGCCGACTCGACGGCACAAAACAACAACAACAACAACAGCAGATGATTCTCAGTATACGTGGGAAAGGAGTTCTAGTGGGTACAGAAGGAGCCCAAAAATGTGTAAGAAGCAGCTCTACAGGGAAAAAAAAGAGAGCATCTGTTGCATGTTAGCACAACCATCTTAGGTACTAGGTATATAGTACTAAACACAACATGAATTTTGCTCTCATGGAACTTACAGTCTAGTGGGAGACAGATAACTTAAGAAGCAAAAAGACATATATGGAATTACAACTTGTGATAGGTGTTCTGAAGGAAACAAATTAAAACACTCTGGATCCCTAGATCTAGGAGCTTAACACAAAGGTTCACCTTGTTTACGGTACATAAACTCTCCAAGTCCGTGGAGGGTTCTGCTTTATGGTCACCCTAGGATCCAGGCTGATGTAGTCTCCATCCTCTTAAACTGCACTGTCTAGAACTTGAGGCCTTTTCATCTGCCATAGCAGGGGAAGATAACATGGAAATCCATGTACTATTAGATGCTTCATTCTGCAGCCCATTAGCCAATCACATAGCCAGGGGTGGTGCCAGCAGATATAACTTTCTATATGTTTAGGAAGTCAAGGAGACATATCAGTGAATAATAGTAATAATGTCTATCCCTGTCCTGATTCTACTTGTTCTGTGACCCTGGAAAGCAAATTAATTTTTCTGAGCCACTGTTTACTCATCTATAAATTATAGATAACATTCTTGCCTCATGGAGTTGTTGTATATATTAAAAGAGATACTGTTACATGGGAATGCTTAGTAAATGTAAAGTATGATAGAAATTTTAGCTGTTTTTTGAAGTTAAAATGCTGCTTGTTTTTCACCAGGTCTGCTGAACGATGGAACTGTGGGTATTTTCCGGGGCAACCAGATGCGCTTAAAGCGAGCTTGCATTCGTAAAGCAAAGATCTCTGCTGTTGCTTTCCGGAAAGCCTTCTGCCACCACAAGTTAGTAGAACTTGATGCCACAGGTGTAAATGCTGACATCACTATTACAGACATCATAAGTGGGCTTGGCAGTAACAAATGGATCCAGCAGAATCTCCAGTGCCTAGTGCTAAACTCATTAACTCTCTCCCTTGAAGATCCTTATGAACGGTGCTTCAGCCGGCTTTCTGGCCTTCGAGCTTTGAGCATCACCAATGTTCTCTTTTACAATGAAGACCTGGCTGAAGTTGCTTCATTGCCAAGATTAGAGAGCCTGGACATTTCTAACACCTCCATCACAGATATCACAGCTTTGCTAGCCTGTAAAGACCGACTCAAGTCTCTAACCATGCACCACTTGAAATGTTTAAAAATGACAACGACACAGATACTGGATGTTGTTCAGGAACTAAAGCATCTGAATCATCTTGATATTTCAGATGATAAACAGTTTACATCAGACATAGCTCTTCGCTTATTAGAACAAAAGGATATCCTACCCAACCTTGTCTCCCTTGATGTTTCTGGGAGAAAGCATGTGACAGATAAAGCGGTTGAAGCCTTTATTCAACAACGGCCCAGCATGCAGTTTGTAGGTTTGTTGGCCACTGATGCTGGCTACTCTGAGTTCCTCACAGGAGAAGGACATTTGAAGGTTAGAATTTTAAAATCTATTATTTTATCAGGCTAATGACTGCCTTAGTTGCATAAAAGTACATTAAGATGACCATCTTATAACATATGGAACATGTTCATGAACCAGGGCATTGTGTAGTGAAAAGTCTTTGCTGTAGAGTCCGAGACTAATTAAAACCCCAGCTTTCTTGCTTCATGACCCAGAACATCCTATGATGTATCTCTTCTAAGTTTCTGTATCCTTATTTGTAAAATAGGTATTATTTTTACTTTGCAGAATTCTTCTGAAGATTAATAATTATGTAAGTAAAGTTCAAGTCACATAGTAGGTCTTGGAAAAAATGATAGTTCTTGTTATGATGATGTTTAGATGTTTTGAACCATTGAAATACCTTTTCTAATGGATCGCTTCAAAGTGGGATACCTTTGTTAAATTTGGGATACCTTTGTTAAATTTAAAGTTCATTGAGAAAATCTATGCTGTGGAAGTGGTAAAATACTGCTTTTTTAAAAGTTTCTCATGCCTATTAGATTAAATTCAGTTTAGCAAACATATTTTGGCTTGAGATTCAAAGATAAAAAAAGATACATGCCCTATGTCCAAAGAGCTTTAGTCTTTTGGGAGTAGTAATTATGAGATGATTACAAATAACTATTAAGTCAAGAATCAGAGTAGTAGTGATTGCTGTAAGAAAATAGAAGAGATTTCCTCTAGCTGGGAATTTGTGGCATCATGGACAAGACGTATCTGAGTCAGACCTTGAAGAATAGGACTGTGACAAGTTTGAGAAAGACTAATATTTTTCAAACAGATATTATATTCCTTAGATGCTTTATTTTGATAGGTATTAGCTCTGTTTTAGGGACTCTGATGGCACCAGTGATTAAGCCCTCAGTTGTTAACCAAAAGCTTGGCTGTTTAAACCTACCAGCTACTCCATGGGAGAAAGATGTGGCAGTCTGCTTCTGTAAAGATTACAGCTTCGAAACCCCATGACACAGTTCTACTCTGTCCTATAGGGTCGTTATGACTTGAGTCAGAATCAACATGACAGAAGTGGGTTTGGTTTGGAGCCCTATTTTATAGATGAGAAAACATAGGCTCATAGAAGTTATACGATTTACTATTAGTTAGAACCAACATTTGTACTTACATCTGTCTGATTCCAGAGCCCTATTTTCCTCCCACTACCCACACCACTTGAATAGAAGCATCCTTTGATCCTACCTGGAGCACAGTCAGGCAAGGCCCAGAAGAAGTGGATTTTGTGAGCAAAATGACAAGGTATCTTTCCTGAGCAACCAACATTGGTCCAAAAAAGGATAAGAAAAGGTTAGGATTCCCCTTGGCTATACTTTATAAACATCTCCGTTCTTGGATTATTTGTAAATTCAGACTTTTATAATAGAATGTAGAAAATAATTTTAGGTCACTCCTTTTCATTCATTTATTTAATAAATATTTATCTACTATGTCTGTACTCTAGACACTGTGCTGGACATTGAATTTGATAGGGAGCCTAGACATACATGATCTTAAACTTATGGAACTTGTAATTTAGTGAGGGAGTCAGAATTAATCAAATAATTTTGAATATATACATACACATGCATGCTTTAAACTGTGTAGTGCTAAGAATGTAGAACAATACATAATACTGTATATGATAATACTTAACAGAGAGACTATTTAGTTCAAGGCTTTTCTGAGGAATTGATGAATAAGTGGAGATCTTAAAGGTGAGACTTGGTAGAGAGAACAATATAAGGCTGTGTGGTAGGAAGGAGCATAGTACAGGCAAAGAAAGGGGGCCACTGTGGCTAGAACTCAAGAGGAAAGGATTGAGAGAGAAATGAAATGTGGCTGGAGAAGTAGGCTAGGGTCAGACCTAGCAAGGTCTTCTAAGCCAGGTGATGGACAGCCAACTAGTGTTAGAGCCTGACCTTGAACCATTGAACTATTTTTTTATTTTAAGTTTTTATTTTATTTTATTTTTGGTGAAAATATACATGCAAAACCCAGTCTAATTCAGCAGTTTCTAAACATACTGATCAGTGGTATTGGTTAACATTCTTCACATTGTGTCAGTGTCCTTGTCATTTCTGTTCTAGTTGTTTAACTCTCATTGACTTAAACTCCCTGCCCCCTATCCTTCTTGTTTAAGCATTAAAATAGCTGTTATTTATTTGTTTTCATATAGATAATTTTTTTTTTTAAAAGACCACAGTACTGAAGGGTACGTGAGGGGGTGTGAATCTTTGTTTAATTTTAAGATGTATGTATATAATCTCCATTGGACTATATGATTCCAGGGAGCTCTGGTAGCATAGTGCCTAAGGTATTTGACTGCTAACCAGAAGGCTGGCTGTTCAGACCCACCAGCCACTCCTCAGAAGGAAGATGGGGCAATCTACTTCCGTAGTGTTAGTGCCTCAGAAACCCAAGGAGGGGTTGCTATGAGTCAGGTACAACTTGATGGCAAATAACAACAACAACAATATGATTCCAAAGCATGTGTCCTTTCCACACTATACCTTATTACCTCGATTAGAGTATCTTCGTTTGGTCCTTTCTCCCTAGTTTCTAGTCCCACCACAGATAGTTTTTGTACCACAGAATTTCCAACTCTGTCATTGCTATTCCCCCACCCAGTTTTTTCTTTTATCACTATCAATTTCCTTAGCCTTCCACTTCTTCATAACTAGGATTCTTTCTCCTGTTGACTACCTTATTCATGAATTCTGGGGTTATATACCAAACTGTGGAGCAATCTACTTCCATAGTGATACTGCCTCAGAAACCCAAGGAGGGGTCGCTATTAAGTCGGGTCCGACTCGATGGCACATAACAACAACAACTGCCAAACTGTGGCTTCCGGCTCCTAGGAATCATTGGAAATGTGCTAAACCCAATGCCACTTGTCAGTCTCCATCTTATGTAACACAGTCTCCATCTTATTTGACACAGTTGATCTTGGTCCTCCTTAAAATACTTTTTTTCGTTTATCTTCCAGGATATGATAGTTGCCTCTCCACCCATCTCCCTATTCTTTTCTGGCTCCTCAATCTCAGTTTCCTTCACGGGTTTTTATACATCTTCTGAGTCCCTAAAAGGTTGGAGTGTTCCATACCTCAGTCCTATCCTCAAGTCATCATCCTATATGCTGATGACTCCTAAATTTTTATCTCCAGCCTAGACCTCTCCCTTGAACTAAGCCTCCTATTTTAAACTGCATTAATAAATTTTCAGTGAAGGTTGTTGTTGTGTGCTATGAAGGTACAAAAAAGTTTTTTAAGTAGAGAAATTGGTCCATTTCAAAAAACAGTATATTTAAGATGTTTGAGTTTATGCTTCTGCTCTTGAGAAATTTTAGTCTAATGAAGAGGAGACAGACAAATTTTAAAATAGCTTTAATATAATCTGAAAGACGCTGTGGTAGTTAAAGTCGTGTATCAACTTGGCTAGACCTGGTTGAGTGGCTGGGCAGCTGGATGTAGTTATTCCTCTTGGTGAGATTGGCATTTAACTCCGTGGTGGAATCTATTGGAGCAGCTGAGTAGCTGGTTTAGCAATGTGGTCTGCTTCTAGCATATAAGAAGCAGCTTTGAGGAAGATCTCCAACTGATGGCATGCTTGAACCCTGCATGTAGCCAATTCATTGTTCAGCGGCCTGCCATGCCCTGCCAATCTTGGGACTTTTTCTGGACTTGAATTAGTGACCTGCTGTGTTGTTTGGTAAAATCAGGACTGTGCCTTTTTACTTGTCAGCCTTGGGTTTGTCAGCCTCAGCAGCTAGCAGTGCCTGAAAAGCCTCTAGCTTTAATGGGCCAGAAGCAGGAGGCAGAGCTGAAGCCCAAGATTGAGTTTCACCCAGTCTCTGGAGCCTGGCACTTTGAACTTAGACTTCCAGACTCCAAAACTGTAAGAGAATAAACTCCTGCTTGTTAAAGCCATCCCATTTGTGGTATTTCTGTTAGAGTGGCACTAGGTAACCAAAACAGATATTATAATAGAACTATGTCCAGAATGCTGTAAGAAATTTTTTCCATGGAGTATAAATTAGCAGTTAAGGAAAGTTTCTCTATTTTAAACTATTTGCAGCTACTAGTACAAACAGTGTGTTTTCAATCCAAGATATGAAGTTAATTTGAGGATGCTTAGAGTTTGAGGAGCCATCTTGCTTGATTTGAGGTTTATCACTGGCTAGAGAAGTACTGATCACTGAATAAAACATATAAATAATGAAATTGGTTTAGAGTATTTAACATTCTAGTAACAAAAGTTCTTTAATTTTATATTCACAGGTAACTTGAGGCTGTATTTCAAATAAGAAATTTATAAAATTGTTGGAGCTAATCAAATGTGGGTAATAGATACCTGACCCAGATTGTTATATATTTTTCCTTCTGCAGTCTTTTATTTCATGTGACATTTCAAGGCTTTTATAACATCTGAAGGTTACAGAATAGACTAGACTCTTGCGTCTTCACATCTGTTGGTCACAGAATACTAGGAAAGATACATACATCCATTCATCATGTTTATTGACAGTGTATTTTATTCTAGTCACTGTGCCAATATCCAATGATAAAAAGATGAATTAAACAAGGACCAGAGGAGGCAAACATTTAGCAAGTGAAATAATTTGATAAATTAATGCTGTCTAAGATGTTTTGAAAATATATTTGTATCACTTCTAATAAAGTTTTGAGTTTACATCTCCATTATCATATACATCTTTCTATTTATAAATTATCATATACATATGTAAAACTGTAATCAGATGTGTTAATTATCACTGGTGACTGGAATGCAAAAGTTGGAAACAAAGAAGAATCACTGGTAGTTGGAAAATTTGGCCTTGGTGAC